TAAGAGAATCTCTAATAGTAAAGTAGCACAATTTTTTGTTTTGCTATGCAAATTCATTAGCAAAGGCACTTTTTAATTATGTACACCAAAATCCTTGCATAGCGCAAATAAAGAATTGGTTTGGCTTGTCCATTATAATTTGTATTTATTGTTCATTTACTAAATCCAATTTATGTTTTTATTTATTAGCAATTCATGATTAACGACACTTATAAATATGGCTATAATAGTTTACATTACCATTATTATTCATCAGCGAATTTAAAACCCTCAAAGACAAAGTCCTCTTCTAGACCTGGTGGTTGGAAATGTGCTCGAATGTAGCTAACAGCAAAAGATGGTAGTGGTACTCTAATTTCCTTGCCCAATACATTCCAACACCATCGAACCAGTTGCCTGTAAGCCACATGTCTTTGTCTTTTGTGTTCCAGTCCTTCTTCAGCTCTTGAACCATAGTGTTGTTTGTACTCACTCCATGCCAGTCGTAATACCCAATAATTTAAACAAAGATTTCGAAAAACAGGATTATCTGTAATACAGTCCGGAGTATCTATTCCCTCAAATTGTGCTGAGTCTTCATTCATTGTTACAACAGCTGAACTTCGTCGGAGTCGTCCATAGGCTCGTCGCTAGAGTCTGTTTCAATCGGCTCATAAGCATATGGTTGAATCATGTTTTGATCGTTAATCATTTCTTCGTAGTTTAAAACACTGCTTCCAGAATAATTACTAGAGGAATCGTTTGAGTAATCCGTATCCATTGCGCAAAATAATTTAAAAACTTAGGAAATAAAATGCAACGATGAATATGCTTATGCGTAATTTCTACTTTTGCTATTATATTTTGTCTAATGTTGACAACGATCACCACGCAGTGACGTCACGACGAAAAACCGCTGCTGGACTGCGGCTTCGCTTGCATGTACACAATGGCGATCGAACAAGAGGCAAAAATACACACATTTAAGGCATTGTTTCTCGAGTTAAATTTGAATTGGAAACCTAGGTTTTCGCGAGAGAGGTAAGAACAATATACACTTTCATATGAGCGAAAGTTGTGTTAAGGTCTGACTACGCCTTTAAATCCACTCTTGGAGACAGGTGACCCAGGACCAGTTAATTCAACATGAACCTTTTCTAAAATTTCTAGAGCTCTACTTATCTGGCTTCCTATTCCTTATATTTGTAAATTTTCCTTTAATGCAAGTTGTACATTCTAACTGGGATCTATAAAATTTTCATGAAATTTTCATTCTCGTCACTTCACTTTCTAGTTTAATAACATTATCAAAATTACATTGACCTTAGATTTCGTGCCATTATTTGATAATGAATTCAAGGCTCATCTTACTTGAGCTAACATTTACATTACCACCTTAATAAGTAGTTAAGAAGTATAAGCGGTCTTGTTCTTCTATTTGAAACGTGATGCCATCTTGATGCTTTCATTGACTTTCAGGGGTTGAGAAATCAAATTGAGCCCCATTTGAAACAGCTGCCGTATCAGACTATGCATCTTGTGGGTAGGAGGGAATAAATAACGCATCTCTAAGAATAGCTTTCACATATTGGTCATTGTTATCGTTAAGAATAATTTTAGCATCTCCACGTTTTTGAAATATTATTCTGCTTGGTTCCATCAGCCAATTCCATGTAGGGTTAAGTTTGAACATTTTTGAGCGTATTTGGTATACTTTAGTCGTGGCAAGCATTTCTGGTGTAACAACTTGCCGATCACATTCACATTAATATTTTGTGATAAAATATGCTGAAACGGTACCTCAAATGGAAACCATTGAGCCAATTAGAACAAAGCGCCTTTCCTTAGATATATTTGCAATCATTTAAGCGCTTCTTTTGTAATTTATAGTTTTTATTCGGTTGAAATGTTTTTGTTTATTCAAAACGCAGCTGACGCGACGTGTGTGCAATGTTTGCGATTTCTGGCCATGAACTTAAAACAATGTTTAAAAAATCCCATCTTATCAAACATTTTAACAATCAAAACTAGATTATCAACTTTGCAACTGTATATGAACTCAGGAAAATCAAATATTAGTTGTAAATACGTCAGTTTTGCCACCTTTGAAGATGGCGCCTTGCATCACTTCATTATTATACAATTTTCGCGAAGTCAAATATCTATAGTAGATTGGATTCCAGGTTATTGTATAAAACCATGTCAGGATAAGTATTGTGAATATTCACCGTCCCATTTACTGTTGAAACATTTATCATTTTGATTTAGAATCTTCTTGCTTCCGAATTGCCACTCATAAGTCCAAAAAAATTAAAATTTTAGTTTATGTTTCAAGATATCTTTGAAAATTGAAGACTTACTGCAACACTACTACTGCATGAAGCCATGTTTTTTATGAAATCTGACTACAAAGACAACAATTGCACGCGCGCTCAAGCCTATGTGACGTCATTTTGCATAAGGCCTATTTATGATTTATGACACACAACAATTAAAGTAATTTAATTTTGACATAAATTTTTCATTATAAGAGTTGGCGTAAGGATTTTTTGTTTAATTTTCATTTAATCAACATCAATTCGAAATTTATAGAAAGCCTAGTGTGAACGCGAAATGATGTGATCGAGCTGTTTTATGAATCAATTGGGTGAGTTTGAATTTGAAACTATATTTTACTAAAATGATAAGGTAAAATCACAACTAGATTGTACAGCACTGTTTAACCATTGCTTCTTTCTAACTTTCTATAACTATCACAAAGACTTGAATCTTTATTCTTGACTGAACAAACTGAAAGAACTCATACCAACGACAGTAAGTGACACTTTACTTTCTACCATACAAACTATTGCAGAGAAACGAGCAAACAAGACTGAGCCACAACACCAAATTAAAACAAACAACAAAACTTAAAAGTTTAAAACGCACTAAAACACTTACAAGACATAAACATGACGATAACTGGGTGAAGAATATTTTTTCCCGCTCATTAGAGAAACTGAAACACGACTACTGTCTTACGGACAAAAACATTCCACAACACCTAATCGTATCCCGACTGAGACGATGGTATCAAGTGTCGCGGCTGTCCTAGCGAATCAAAGAGACTTGTCAGAGACAACCAACAACAATATTAGAAGCAGGGTACCCTTTGCTTCACAATCGGCCTCTATAAGTGACAACAACTTGACAAAATACGAGTAACAAGTAAACTCAAACGACTAAAACACGACAACAACATCATCATTTTATCAGCAGACAAAGGACGCGTGACTGTGGTCATGGACTGGACTGATTACTTCCACAAAAGGGATACCGCTGACGTCTACTCCTCATTTGACTCTGAAGATGACTACCACTAAGGTTGTCGAAACGTCAGTCAACAACAAAGACAGTCCTCTGCACTATAGCAACCTGGACGATATACATCTGCAAACATGTAAAATGAATCAGTAGTATAGAGACTACCGGCTCTGGCGCACCTCATACCTTGGGACCTAGTATACGCACATTTAAGCGCACCAGCAGTAGTTCGTTCACAAAAAAGACGTGTAGATGTATACATGTGTATACATGGGTCCCGATAAAAAAATCGCACCGGTTCTGGCGCACTTCACAGTTTGAGAAGGAGTATACACAAATCTAAGCGCCTCAGCCCTAGTTCGCGTATGTGGTTCACATACATAGTAGGCACATGGTAAGCACATATGTCGGCAAAAAAATCACAAGACAGCGAAGGCTAAATCCTGGAAAACGGCATGAACCAAAGACGGCCGGCCCACCCCCCGCACGGCCGGCCGTCGGGGGTCTATTAGTTCTGATGTGATAATTAGGTAGTTAGTGTTCGTCAAGAGGGCTCCCTCCGCCGGCTGTGGGTCATTTGAAGAAAGACGATTCACAGCGTATATCCAAACGTTCGACAGCCATGAGGCAGGGCAAGAACAAGTGCGCGTGGGTGAAGGTCCACACCGTGTGGAAAGTCATGTATGGGGAAGTATTGCGGAGTGCATCTGCAACAAATCCGGCCTGGCTCGCCGGTGCCGGTCGCATGTCGGGGTTGTGGTATCAGCACGCAGGCAGAGGTGCAACGATGCGCAGATTGTGGCCAGCAAGCCGAAAAGCTCGCCTTGGTAGAAAGAGGCCCGAGCACGAAGGCAGATTAGCCTGGTCCTCGGCGATGTGGAGGCCGGGAATTACTATTTAAAGAAGGGCGTATAGTAGGTTATATGCTAAGCTACATCCATTTAGAGAATAGCGTATGATAGGTTATATTAACTGAATTTTCATTATATGCTAGACTACATCCATTTAGAGAATAGCGTACTATAGGTTATATTCACTGATATGGATACTGTTAATAAACTTCTGCAACTATATGACCAAGGTGTAATCAGCGGACACGCGCTGAACGCCTCTCTTAGACTCTTCAACCGCCCGCTGCCTCAACACCCACGCCAAAATGTCACTCCGCCAATCCCCAAACCGCAAGCGCAGGCCTATTCTAAAACCGCGCAAGTGCAGGCCTATCCCCAAACTGCAGGCGCAGACCCGCCGAGCCTACCGATGATGACATGGACGCATACATCGATGAGCTTCTGGCTGGAATTAAACCACAACGCCCCGCAAGGGCTCCTCGCCGAGCCTACCAAAGCATTTCCTTGAAGCGCTCCAAAAAGAAGAGCGTAAGATCAAGACGGTGTAGCCTAACTCCGAGCCTATGCACATGACAGGAAAGGACTGGGGGAGCCACAAGAAAGCCGCAAATTGCCACGTCTGCAGCAAGCCCCTCGAAGGCGACTCCATGCGAGACCACTGCCACAATGAGTGCAACCTGAAGTTGCGGCTCATCTCAAAGACGACAACCATACCGGTTGTCTTTCACAACCTTCGGGGCTACGACAGCCATATTATTATGCAGACTATCGCAGAGACTGAAGGGATGGTCACCTGCGTCCCCAACAACGCTGAGAAATACATCTCTTTAGTATCGGCCATCTTCGATTATTGACAGCGCCCAGTTCATGCTCTCAAGCTTGGATGGCCTGGTGAAAGCCAGCGACCCGCGAGACATGCGCATCACAGCAGACTACGAGCCGAACCTCCAGAGGCGAACCTCTTGCTTCGGAAGGGGGTCTACCCCAACGAGTACATGGACGGCTGGCCCCGATTCGACGAGGAGGCCCTTCCCGGCGAAGGAGGCTTTCTACAGCAAGCTCTCTGGCGAAGGAAACACCGACGACGACTACGCTCACGGAAAAAGGGTCTGGGACGCCTTCGGCTGCACAAGCCTCGGCGACTACCACGATCTCAACCTCCGGACCGACGTCCTCCTCCTCGCCGACGTCTTCGAGAACTTCGGAAAACTGTGCCTCGAGCGATATAAGCTAGACCCGGCCCACTACTACACGAGCCCGGACCGAAGCGGGGACGCTCTCCTCAAGCGCACAGGGGTTGAGCTCGAGCTGCTCACCGACATTGACATGCATCTCTTCATCGAGAAGGGCCTGCGTGGCGGGATCAGTATGGCCAGCAGGCGCTTCGCCAAGGCCAACAACCCCAAGGTGCCAGACTACGATCCGGAGAAGCCCCAAAGCTGGATACAGTACAACGACGCCAACAACCTGTACAGCTGGGCGATGCCGCAGCCGCTGCCGACAGGCACGTTCGAGCGGGTCGCCCAAGAGGATGTGAAGGTGGCACTGAAACAGCCTGTAGATGCAGAGAAGGGCTACATTCTCGAAGTCGATCTGGAGTACCCAGAAGAGCTGCATGACGAGAACAATGCATATCCGTTAGCGCCAGAACATCTGAAGGTGGACAACGCGTGGATGTCGGATTACCAGAAAAATCTCTTCAAACAGATGTATGGGGGTGCGTCTCACGAGGTCGAAAAGCTGGTCCCCAATCTGCGCGACAAGAGCCGATACGTCCTGCACTATCGGAATCTGCAGCTTGGCATGCGCCTGAAAAAGATCCACAGGGCACTCCGCTACGATCAAAGCCCATGGATGGAGCCCTACATCAGGAAAAACACCGAACTCCAGAAGAAGGCAAAGAGTGACTTTGAAGTCAACCTCTACAAGCTGCTGAACAACAGCGTATTTGGCAAGACGATGGAGAACCTCCGAAAGCGTGTCGAGGCGAAGCTGCTCCGGCCAAGCGAGGACGAGAGACTCCGCAAACTTATCGCCAAGCCGACATACAATCGGCATCTCATCTTTGGCGATGAGACCTCGCAGCCGTTCACATGAATAAAAGCAGTCTGCTGCTCAACCGGCCGGTCTTCGTGGGCATGAGCGTTCTCAACCTCTCGAAGCATCTGATGTACGACTGGTACTACAACCATCTCAAGGCGCAGTACGGGTCGTCAGCAGAGGTACTCTACTCCGACACCAACAGCCTTGTGCTGGATATCCAAACTGAGGATGTGTTCGCCGACATGAGGCGCGACGCCGGTCAGTATGACACCGGAAACTGTCCCAAAGACCATCCGCTGTTCAGCACAGTCAACAAGAAGGTGCTGGGGAAAATGAAGGATGAGTGCGCTGGGTTGCCTATTGCTGAGTTTGTGGGGCTCAGGCCCAAGATGTACTCTATCTGAAAGCCGATGGTCTGGAGGAGCGCAAAGGCAAAGGTGTTAAAATGGTCGTCGTAAAAAGCATATCAGTCATGCCCAATACAAAGAGGCGCTCTTCAAAGCAAAGCGCTTCCGCCATGGTATGGATATGCTGCGCAGCCGCGGGCATCAGATCGTCGGCGAGCACGTCAACAAGACATCGTTGAGCCCGCTGGACACGAAGCGCTGGATCGCGGCTGAGGGAATCTCTACCCTAGCATACGGGCATAGGAAGCCGGTGCGCAGGTGAATATCACATCAGAATAACAGAAATAAATGCCTTCCACGGCTAAGCCGGTGGTGTTACGGTACCAGGGCACCACTTGAGCTCCTCGCGCACAAACGTGCGCTTGCACCAATCGCTTAAATAATACAACACAGGCTTCCCGCCCTCAACTACAGCCCGCTCGACCTGGTGGGAGGTCACGCTCCAGATAGGATCTGTCGCCTTACGCCCTTCGCCACACTCGAGTTCTCTAGGCGCATACAAATACCGCCACAAACATCCGATGGCAAGCGTTGCTCATTGAAACTAACTGGACAAAGCGCCGGCGCATCGGATTTGGCATTAACGCTCTTCTTCCGAATCGCAAGGGAGGGCTTTTCGCCCGTCAAACGAGTAGTTTCATTATTTAGCGCTTTAACCACCTCAGGTAACCGTGATACCCATTCTTTGTTCCGAGGTTCCGGGCTCAGCCAGCTCGCGATGATACTGGTAACCGAATAATCGCTCCGCCAAAATTCGGTTGAATCTTTCTACGATCCCTAATCTCTATGAACCCCGACCTTACCCCGTCGAATCGTGACACCATTTTTATCACACGTTTTTTCACAGCCCCGCGGAACTCTGAGCCAGGGTTGACTTGTAAAACTTTAGGCCATCGAAGAGGCCCACGGGCATAAATAGACTCTAACGCCTTCCCAACCTGGGTCGCTGTCTTGTCTGTGATCGCCTGGGCCTACTTATATCGACTTGCTACGTCGACGACCATCAATGCGTATTTGAATGTGCGTCTTCCGACTCACTCGTGAGGCAGGTACAAGAGATCGGCCTAGTGGACCTCATTCGGGGTGCTGATTTTAAACTTAGGTCGGGGGATAGAACTTCGTGCTGGTGCGGGCAAGTAGATCTTCCAGATGGCCTGTTTTGTTAGCCATTCATGAGCCACATCCTCGCCGACGCCAGCCTCTTTAGCCAGCTTTGGGATAGCAGCACGGCCTCGCCAGTACCCCGCAGGACTTTAGTACGCCTTTGCGAGGCGTTCCGCAACGGTTCCGTCCGTAGAAACGCGACCATGATTTGTCGGGGCGACGGCTTTGTCACTAAGTGTCTTAGGCGGCTTCTCTTTAGCTTCGAAATCGTCATGACCACCGCCAGTGGTCAGAGGCACAAGGTCGAGCACCTTCTGATCATTGGCTAGAGTGTCTTCGCCGAACACCCCCCTTAATCTTTTTAAAAGCCCCTCTACAGAACCCTCTTCTATAAACAACCGCCCCGCCAGGACAGCATGGCGCCCGCAGAAAGCCGCTGCTCGACTCTGCACTGCAAACGTATTCGTAACCATGACCACTCGGGAAGGCCTTCAAAAATATCTTCGTAGCTGGGGCTTTGTATATGCTTCCTCTATTTCAGCGAGCGCACGTCCAAAGCTATCGAAGACAAGCACATGCGTTCCAGTACAACAAACAGTTAGCCAGTGGTGCCTTCTTCCACCGGATCATGGAGGGTACATGTTGTCCGTGTTGCTGATGCAAAACTGCCCATCGTAGAGATGTGGTAGGCTGTCGTGCTGCTAACGAGCCGTCCTCGGTCTCGTTCGTCATTCAAGAGGCGTTCGATGTCAACGCTCGAGAGGGGTAATCCATCTTCCATTCCTTACTGTAATTATAAGCATAATTACAAAAGCACAGCGGAGTCTAAAAAGGCACAAGGGTGCTTGCTGTTAATTTATTATTTAAGCAGAAACAAAACGACATATATTTAATTGTTTAGTTACACAGTGAGCGTTGTTCTAAACCATGCGGTGTCGAGCAGAACAGAAGATAAAGAGTGAGTAAATTAGCATACAAGTAGTGCACCAGATCATGTGACTAGTACTATGATCAGATATCTTATACTTAGTTTAATACACATATAATGTCTCGTCATTCTTAACACTTGCCAGCGTTAATCAGTTCTCGATGATGCGCCTGTAACATTCTTGAGTGTTGGAGCGCCTGTACAGTAAGTGGGCAGCGGCCGCAATGGGCAATGCCGCCGCCGCCACCGCGCACGGTAGGTTCTTCTGCCCATGTCGACGAACGCTTCCCGAGATTGCTCTCCATACCTCCAGCGAGACATCGGATATATCGCCGAACTCCAGAAGTGGGAAACCTCGCAGACCTTGACCCCTGAGATCATGGCGAGCTGTTGCAGCAACACCATGGAAGGCCCATCATTAGCTTGATACGTTGCTCATATCATCTTTTGGCACATTAAATCTCTGATTAAAATTAATCGATATCAACGGTTCTTAGATCCAGAAAGATCGGATACCCTTTGGAAATGTACTTTCCAGTGTTGAATTTCAACCAAAAGGACACCTCATTAACTTGTTCGTAGGGGCGTAGACGCCGCAAGTCGGCCTTAGCAAACACATAATTGTTAAGTCCATCGAGTGTCTGCACGAGAAGGTTTGAGGACCCGGCTGTCAGAGTTGCCCTCATACTCAGCAGGGTGGATCAGATCGTGTAAAGGAGGACTGCCCGCCGACCCGCGCTCAGGTCATGGGAGGGTTTTCACGATTCCGGAGAAGCCACTTGGGCATCCCACGATTTACCTGCCGCAATCTCGCCTAGGCCGAGATGAGGGAGGGGCTATCTTTTCATCTTCAGGGTCTTACAGCCGGCACCCTGACCTGAACTCGGTCTGAGCCCGCTCGTAGCTGAAGACTATACCGTCATGACCGGCGTTGGCCAGAGTCTGGTTTATAACTTTGATGAGGTGCCCGACCTTTGTGTATGTCCCCGTGAGGATGCTGAGCGCGGTCTCGCTGTCACCAATAACAACGTACAGCTTGTTGCTTTCAGGCCCGACATTCAAATAATGGAGCTCAAACTGGGCACTTTCGACGAAAATCGCCTTTCCCGCAGTGTTCAGGTCCTTAACCCGTATCGTAAAGTTGGCCTGGAGGGCAACAACTGACCGCCGGCGAGTTAGTCACCGCGGATAGGACTACGCTTGTTGCGGCTGCCACGTTTAAACATGACCAAACAGCCCCCTTCCATCCAATTGGAGGTACAAGCCACTGACGCATGTACCTAAGGTGAACCATGGCGACGACTCTAGACACATCCCAAATCCCCGAGCCCATCCGTGGTCTCCTGACACCTTTGAAGGTAGTCCAGGATGCGACTACCTTCTCACTCCCACGAGCCCAGCCTTTAGTTGGGTAAAAAACATCCGTGTGGAGCTCAACGGACAAGAGGTCACGCAGAGTGGCGTCGTGGCTGATATGTAGCCGGTTCAGCACATCCTGAGTCTTATAGAGAGCTCGATCGGGAAGTTGCAATACGCGGATAGTGACTTATTCGGCTTACAGAAGCTGGATCCCAAGAAGGCCATGAAAGCTATCCCCATGCAGACCTACGCCTATGGAGTGGACCGTCGCGTTGGCTATGCCTTTGCGACAAACACAGCAGCGACGGGCCGGAGATCCTGACTTTGCTGCTGATCGTAACCTTAAAAGAATGCCTGGTGTCCAGCTCGCATCAACCAAAGCCTTCTTGAATACGGTGCAAGAACATATCGTCCGTGTCCTCAGCGGGAACTTTCAGTATAAGTTTCGCCCATTCCTCCCCGTCTTACCCAGTGGGGATAGTTGGCTGCCTCCGGGCACAAAGGTGAAGAATCATGTCGACCTCCCAAAGGGCGATCTCAGTCGCTACATGATAATTTCTTACAAAGGGGGCGGTGTGGATAACGCAGACGCTATCAGCAGAATACGTAAAGAACTGCTAGAGCTCGACTTTTCTACCCCACCTATCGCATGGAAAAGACTACAGACACCAGGTTTCGATCGCTAAGGAGCTGTATTTTCACACCAGGTGCCCCAGAGTAGTTCAGAAGTCGTTGAACGATGACGCTGGCACTCTCGCGCTCCTACACAATGCCCCGATCCCTGGAAGATGATTCTCTTCTTCACCGACTAAAGGCTCGGAGACGCACCAGGACTTACTCCAAATGCCGCCGCCGACTACAGCAACCGATTAGCTATGATCCACGCCAACTCAAGCCAGCTCCGTATCATCGTGAACGAGCAGAACCTCTTTGATCATCCCCTGAAGTTCTCGTAGCAGTGCAGCGCGGCGAAGATAGCCAAACAGGAGTCACTCACTTCTACGACCCCAATAAAAGTTCCTACCTGAGAGGCTACAACTTGGTCCAAGAGTTCTTCGGAAAGACGTACGGCACGGAAGTGCCCATCACGGCCGAGGACTACTGCAACAAGTGGTTCATGATCCCGATCAATCTCAATCTGGACCCTGTCACAGACAACGCAAAAGCGCAAGGCAATCTCACAATCGATTATTAGTTCACGGCAGTGGCGGACAGTCGTTTGCGCTCTCCTCCGACGCCTCCACGTCAATCAAAGT